AGCAGATACAAAACTGCATTTCAGCTAACATGTACATTTGTTTACAGATGTAAGCATAAGTTGAAACTAGTGACTGGTAAAAAATTAATTGTTTAAATTAAAAGAATTGTAGTAAAGGATCATTTTTTATGTTTCTGCAGTCACAGGCTCATGTAACAAACTGAAAGATTCTAGAAATGGAACTAAATGTTTTGTTTTTATTTGACATTTTCATGCGAAAATATGACCACACTTCCTTGAACACTGTTTACCTAGAAGATTGGTGAATGAGGACAGGAAGACAGATGGATGTAAACTCTTGATATTGTGACAGCCCAGAGCATCTCCCTGGGATCCACTTTGACATCATTTAGCCTTCATTACTGCAACCCTGAAAGTTGCGCTCACAAGACCCTGCCAGGGAACCAGATGATGTCACCACCCCCACTGGAACTAGCTAACACCTGAACAGCATCCGGGATGTGAATCTTAGGTTCCTGCCATTGTCCCCTTCCTAATTTGTCATTTTCCTTCCCTAGCTTGTTTCTGTGTCTCGGCTAACTTTACAACACTGCTGTGAGCTTCTAACAAGAAAAGTAAGCAGAACAAAATGCCTTAAAAAGTCTAGTGCGAGTAAAAGGACAACATGCCTCAGTGACATTAAGATGGAGCATTATGCCTATATTTCTCTCACTTTTTTGTGTTACCCCTGTTTTCCCTTAAAGAAGCAAGGATCACATTTGAACAGCAACAGCAGTGGAAGCTTATGACCCACTAAACTAGCTTTTTCTCCCATTGATACCACCTTTATACTACTGGAAAGAATTTAAAGTTTCCCAGCTATAAGAGACACTATACAGTTAGAAGGATATCAAATAAGAAAAAAATATATTTAAAATATTAACCAAGGATTTCATTTTAAGTTGTAAATATTGTAAAGGCTTTGTCTTTTTCCATCTTTCTAATAAAAGTTAAAAATATATTTATACTAATTGTTACAGGAGTAATCAAGCTATAACTTGACACAAAACACTTCTGTCTGAGGTTATAATCATAAATACTGGTTGTATGAACATTTCATCAACACATAGTTGTTCTATTACATTTGTTTCTATGTTTCTGTTTACAGTATCACTTTGGTCTAATTTTAGATGATAAAGCCCTGAGAGCAAGAAAACTTTTAATATTTACCTGTAAAATACAATGCAAGTGAACATTATAGCACCATGAGCAAATAATTTAAGTTTAAATATATATTTTTTGCAAACGAAACAAAGCTAAACATCGGTATTAAAATATTAACTCCTCCATTATGCTCTCACTTCTGTCACTCTTATTTTTAATCTAGAATTACTGCTGTAGTTTTCTTTTAAACTAACAATTAACTTTATGTCAGAATGCCAGTTTTACTCAAGTAAACACTTACAGCAGGGGTGCCAAACTCAAATCAGCTGGAGGGCTGCATCTCTTCATTTTCAGGTGCCTATGGGCTGTATCCAGGCTCTTGTACTGGCAGCCCTAGCAGCTCCACAGAAGCTTCGACACCAATAGAGGGACTTTCCATGAGGGCAACCAGCACACCAACCCTGAAAAGACCGAATCAGAGAGATCCTCCAGGGACACCATGTCTGTGCAATAGTGGCCCTGCAGGGACCCCATATGGTGCATATGACCTGTAGGGACACAGAGCATGACCCTATGCCACCACGGTCAGAGCCAGCACCCTGGGGATCTGGCTTCAGTGGCTGGTCTTCCACAGCAGCAGCCCATCCCACAATGAGAGCTAGGGGTCTGGCTGCCCCAGCACCACTATGAGTTAAATACGGCCACAGCAGCTAGAGCCCCAGCTCTGGCCACAGTGGCTGGGCTTCCTGGTGACAGCTGGGGTGCTGGCAACCCGAGAAACACTGAGAGCAGAAACTCTGCCACTACAGCCAGAGCTAGGGCTCTGGCTAAAGTGGTAGGGGGGC